TTACTGATCGGAAAATGAGTAATTATGTGATCATTAAAGACGTAAACAACATCACAATGTGACCAGATGTCTGATGGCAGCTTTCAGACGGCTTTTAATTATCGCTGCATACAGGTGTGGTGTGTGTGTGTGTTGTGTGTGTGTGTGTGTGTGTGTGTGTGTGTGTGTGTGTGTGTGTGTGTGTGTGTGTGTGTGTGTGTGTGTGTGTGTGTGTGTGTGTGTGTGTGTGTGTGTGTGTGTGAGAGTGTGTGTGTTTGTGCTCAAGAGAGAGTATGTGTGTGTGTGTGTGTGTGTGTGTGTGTGTGTGTGTGTGTGTGTGAGAGAGCGTGAGCGTGAGCGTTATTACTAGAAATGGGCATCATCTCCTCGTCAAGTCTGTCCTTGTTTTTTTAAATGTTAGAATAATTGAAGGCTGTGTTTCATAATGAGTCTGCAACACCAGTAATGGGTCTAAATGGAGAATTCCAACACAAATCATCCAGTAGCTTTTGTTCCCTCAGATCAACCAGGTCTCAGCACATTAACCAATACTACAAACTGCATTGGACTTGATGAATACTGGAGGATTTGTCTGCACATTGCTTCTGTTTTGTCTGCACATATGGAGGCTCTCACATGTTGATTAAGTGAGGAACCAAACAATGTGTAACACTCGCTGTGGGACGATGAGTCCTCTAATGGCAGCCAGACAGAGCGCTAACACATTAGCAACGTGTGATAGAAAAACACAGGAAAGCTGCTCTGCTACAGAAGGACCACATGTTCAAAATATGCTTTTAAATTTGCTATTTTTTAAGAATATCTATAGGTTAGGGAACACACAGGACATCGGGGGTTGTGCTGATTGTTCATTTACTTCACATTACAGGAATGTGGGTCACACTAACATGGACACTGATTTTAGATTTAAATTATGCCTTATTTTTGCTTTTCTCTTGACTCATTTCAGAGCTCTAGATTGAATCCCAAAATGTAATGTTAGGTCTACAGTCTGAGATGAATGAACTGTTCAACCCTTACATGTTTAAGAGATTGCATATAGATTAAAACCATTGGAATAGGAGATTAAAGGATGAGGGTCATCAAAAGAAGCCCTGACAGCTGGATCATAACTCCTGAAAATGGTAACGACACATCATGGACACAATAACCATGGACACCATCAAAATGGTTTGTAAAGGAGTTCACCTGATGGAAAACAGACCCTACCGTAAAGACGATATGTAACGGTAACGTTCAGGTTCATATTGGTAATGTGTGCCTCTACTGCGACATGTTCCCATGCTTTAATGTTCAAAAAGTCAAATATAAGTTGAAGTATAGGGGTGCTGTGTGTGTGTGTGTGTGTGTGTGTGTGTGTGTGTGTGTGTGTGTGTGTGTGTGTGTGTGTGTGTGTGTGTGTGTGTGTGTGTGTGTGTGTGTGTGTGTGTGATTTAAGAGGAGTGAGCTTGCAGGGATGATGAGGCGATGTGTGCTCACCAGACTGTGAAATGTCTTCATATCTCAGGAGTCCCCCCTCCCCACAAGTAAGGCAGCAACATGGTGTGTGTGTGTGTGTGTGCTGACTCTGAATCTCTATCTTTCTTCATCTCTCATTCCTGTGGCGTCTCTCCCTTTGATGTCGGCCAAGGACACACTTGTTTTGTTTCTTCCTGTCGAGTCTTCCTCAGAGACAATTCGTGATACTGAATTCTCCCGTTGTCCTTAAGCTCAACCCTGGCGACGCTGCACTGCAGATAACCCTCTGATAATTGACAGGAGAGAGAAATTGTTTCTCCCAGCCCCAGAGTGTCACAGGCAGCTTTGATCCGGTTTCATCTAGGAGGGAATCACGTAATCGATGAAGACGTTTGTGTCTCCGTACGGATCAGGAGAACACACACATCTTTCAGAATCTGCGTGTTGTGTTTTGATCTTTCTCTTTGATTCTTCCTCTGTGTGTTCTGGCTTTTGTTTGAAGTGTTTTCTGTGAGCTACAATTCAGGTTTTTAGATAAGACAAGTACGGAGGCTACAGATGCCGTCGTGCTACAACGGTCAAAAACATTTCATTTAAGCCCCTGTCACACTGTCCCGAAATTGACACCCGATGGACACACGATTAAGGAAATGTTCAAATTCGGCTCTGATCGTAACAACATCGGGCCATTCGTGAGGGCATCTTAAGCCATCGTATGACCGCCGGTGGAGTTTCTCAGGCTCCGGCAGCAACTTCGGGAGCGGTGGAAAAATCTTTGGCATCACAAAGATTCCACCGGCGGTCATAGGATGGCTTAAGATGCCCTCACGAATGATGTTGTTACGATCAGAGCCGAATTTGAACAGTTCCTTAATTGTGTGTCCATCGGGTGTCAATTTCGGGACAGTGTGACAGGGGCTTTAGGAGAATCGCGCTGCCGTTTCAAAAGTGATGCAAATATAAAAACACAAATGTTCCAAAACACATCAGATTCAGAATCAGGTTTATTTCCATCTACGTTTACACTTTGGCTTTGGTATCTGTTGGTGCAAACATAAACAATTACCAGTGACATTTGAAGATTATCCACCAATGCATGACCATGGTAGAAAGCCAAAAAGAAAATAATAAATACCATGTACTTCAGCGTAAACATCTCCCTATTCCCGCTTTCGTATCTTTTAATTGTAATTTACAATCTGCAAAATACAACATAAGTCAGTAAACAAAAACAAACTCAGGTAAACAGTGTCCATTCGTTTGGCTCCAAGGTTGAAGTTGTAACCACGCTCACAAAAACAAACTGAAAGGACAGTGGTTCTCGAACTTTTGTCAGTAATGTTCCCCCTTTGAAACATTTTCTCAGCCGAGTACCCACTGACCGACCCTGAACATTTTTGATCGAAAAAGCCTATACAAATAATTCCAATATAGTGATGTTCCCTCAGTGTGTGATTTATTAACTCATTCATACATGCATTCAACAAACTAAGGATATTTTCATTTTATGCATGAAAAAAAATAACGACATTTTTTTTAAACTGATTTTTCCAAGGAGTTTTTCAACTGAAGTAATATCTGTTTAACAAACCAATGAACAAAATGATATATTATGCAAAACTATAAAATACAATACACACATTTGACATGTTTATATGAGGACCCCCTTGGTGGTTCCAGGAATATTTTATATACAATTGTGTTTTCTATTTAACTTATTGTACTACGATTATTTTTGTAATCATGCATGGTATTTTTTTTATTAACATTTTTTAATTTTTTTTTAAATCTCACGTACCCCCTGCAGTACCCCAACGTACCCCTAGGGGGCCGCGTACCCCCATTTGAGAATCACTGGACTAAACAGTCCATTTCTAATTATGTTAAATAATCACTAGAGAGAAAAAGCATTATCTGAACTTGCTCTTGCGTTGTGTGAAACATCGTGCTGTATTGTTATCCTTTTGTGAAACACTGGGTCAGCATTTCACCGTCTGTCTCTCTCAAACGAACCCGTTTTTGTTCTCAAAGTCGTTTTCTCGAGAGTAGCTGCTGCTCTGAAACGGCGCATATCTAATTTCAGAACAAAAGCACCCTTTTCAGATTAAATTAACCTCGATGGTTGGGCCGTTTGCTGATCCTCTCTTTGGTTTCAGAGGATGAAAGGCTGCTGCTGCTGGACGAGCCTTTCGTGGGTCGGTCGAGTAACCTCATCCTTTAAAAACAAAAGAGGACCAGACTCTGCACAATAGCACTCTGATTGCAGCTCTGAATTGGACTCCTCTGCAATTCAGCGGGGGAGACACAGCAGGGATCCTCTCCTCTGATTGTTCAACATGATTACCAGATGGAGGGGCTGGTTATAAGCACCAGGGTTCTCACTCTCACTGCTGCATTGGCCTTGAAAGAGGAATCCTCATCCAACAAATGTGTCTGGTCACTGCTGTTATTTCTGAACATAGAGAAAGAATAGTTCTCTGCAATCCATGGGTTTTTAAGGTCTTCTATCCCGATACTCATACTTATATCATGACCTGCTTTCACATGATCTTTGGAAATCAGCAGAGATGGCAAACGTTCACACATCCTTTACTCAAGTAGAAGTACAGATAATCGTTTTTAAAAATACTCTGGTGAAAGTAGAAGTACTGACTAAACTTCTTCACTCAAGTCAAAGTAAAGAGGCTTTGAAATGTACTTCAGTAAAAAGTACCCATAACTAGCAGCTGTTTTAAAGAGTACCTGACCTCCCTTTATATTAATAGAACAATAATGTCATTGTTAGCTAATGAATGTTTCCATG